TAAACAATTTGAAAAATGGACAAATACCATAAAGGTTCGTTCAGTGTTTGTCGGGTAGGCTGCTCCATTATTGAGACGTAAGTGACAAATAGAAAACAAATGGAATACATTTGAAACAAAGAAAGATTGTCATAATGGAGCAGCCTACCCGACAAACACAGAACGAAACTTTTGCTATAACGAATATGAAAGACAAGGGCTGCTGGCTGGGTTAGTACTGCGTGAGCAACCATTTGCGGCACACGTGTCTCTGGCTCCCAAACACCTGCCCCACACGGTGTTGAAAGACTGCGCTCAGTCGGTGCAATTCAGACCTTATTGTTTGAAGAACATAAGGGTCATAATATTGGTGAAGCTAGGCGCAATAAGGGCTTAACACGACAGTTGGATACAAGTGTTACAGCACCTATGAGGATGATACAGCGAGCGTATCCAGTTGTAGCTCTGAGACCCACCCTTGCCATCTCCAATTTTTATAGACGATACATAGATGAATCGTTTTCTGCGTTCAGTGATGATGCAACTGATACAAGTAGCATAGATGAACAGTGTTTGCGGCTTCCATGGTCGTGTTTTCCATAGATATTTGCAAGAATACCTGAATCTCTTCCCGACTGATGGACACTCTTTGAGGCTAGTTGAATCTCTTCCTGTGTGGGATCTGACAAAGCGATCTTTTCAAGACTACCTTACAATTTGAACTTTTCCTATAATCGTTTCAATACTACCTTATGCTTTACTAGCTTGGCTACATACCACCTACAAGTACTAAAGCCAAGGGTGCACACGAGTGAGTTATTTGCAAGCACACAGAACGATGAAACAGGAAGCGAAAATCTATCTGTAGCTGGAGCAAGGAGAGCGAAGTCATGCTGTGTACCATGGACTACTTCGTTGATTATTACTCACTTCCAAAGTACTGAGTGTGTAATACAGTGTGTTACTGTGTAAATAGTATGTGAAACTGTACATATTGTAATTATAGTGAATTTTTACCACGTAATATTGTGACAATAAACATTTATTGTGGACACATTACTGACACATGTATCACAGTTCCATGGAAAATTATGAACATTCTACTGTATACATATTGTAAAGGCCACAAATATGCATCATATACGATAAAAGAAACAAATAAAACCGCATTAGAAATACATAGAACAAATATTTGAAAATATATTTGTGGTAACACGCGGTGCTTGAATGGCCTGCGCGACCGTGTCTGGGAGCTTCACACACGGGCGACCAGCCCCTGATGATGTCACAGCGCACCTTGTCCACGCCCTCACAGCCAAAGTAAGTGGAATTTGGTATTATTTTTACATAGACATGTTCAGAGAAGACAATTTATCATTTTACAAAGAAAAATGATTTTTGGGGAACACTATGTCATGCACACTGGGGGAATTTCACAATAAACACAGTGCATCACAGTGGTTAAATGGGGACATTAGTTTTGTATGACGTCCGTTTAACACGACGAACACGGAACGGATTAAATTCGTTATGCGAGGTACCACTGTATTTTTTATTTATTTATTTATATATATATATATATATATATATATATATATATATATATATATATATATATATATATATATATATATATATATATATATATATGTCGTACCTAGTAGCCAGAACTCACTTCTCAGCCTACTATGCAAGGCCCGATTTGCCTAATAAGCCAAGTTTTCATGAATTAATATATTTTCTCTATTTTTTTTCTTATGAAATGATAAAGCTATCCATTTCATCATGTATGAGGTCAATTTTATTTTATTGGAGTTAAAATTAACGTAGATATATGACCGAACCTAACCAACCCTACCTAACCTAACCTAACCTATATTTATAGGTAAGGTTAGGTTAGGTAGCCAAAAAAAGCTAGGTTAGGTTAGGTTAGGTAGACGAAAAAACATTAATTCATGAAAACTTGGCTTATTAGGCAAATCGGGCCTTGAATAGTAGGCTGAGAAGTGCGTTCTGGCTATTAGGTACGACATATATATATATATATACAGTGGTACCTCGCATAACGATTGCCCCAAAAGACGAATATTTTGGGTAACGAACGGCCTGATCGGCGTCAAATCGTCCCGTATGACGAACGCTGGTTTGTGTAACGTCAACACCACATGGTGGGGTCGCGCTGCTTCTTGCACATTCTTAGATGCCTCCGACGATGCACATAAATTATGTTGTTCTTGTTTAAAGATGCTAATGATGCTGGGATATAAAAGGGTGACTACTGAGATGTTGCAAAGCATTGACGTTTTTGTAGGAAAAATGAAATGAAATGTCTGATATACAACAAATGTCAAAAAAGTTCGTTCGGTGTTCGGCAGGTAGGCTGCTCCATTATAACAATCTTTGTTTCAAATGTGTTCCATTTGTTTTTTATTTGTCATTTGCGTCTCAATAATGGAGAAGCCTACCTTACATACACTGAATAAACCATTATGACATTTTCCTTTCTTCAAATGTGTTCAATATTTATTTTTCATTTGTCTTATAGCAAAAGGTTCGTTCGGTGGTCGGCAGGTAGGCTGCTCCATGTTTCTTACATACAAAAATCGAAAATAATAAAAAAAATGAAGAATTTTGAAAACCAGTACAAATGTCAAAAAGGTTCGTTCCGTGGTCTACAGGTCGGCTGCTCCATGTTTCTTTAAAAAAAAAAAAAAAAAAAACGAAAAATAAAAGAACTGTTGAAACAATTTGAAAAATGGACAAATGTCATAAAGGTTCGTTCAGTGTTTGTCGGGTAGGCTGCTCCATTATTGAGACGTAAGTGACAAATACAAAACAAATGGAACACATTTGAAACAAAGATTGTCATACTGGAGCAGCCTACCCAACAAACACTGAACGAACCTTTTGCTATAACGAATATGAAAGACAAGGGCTGCTGGCTGGGTTAGTAGTGCGTGAGCAACCATTTGTAGCACACATGCCTCTGGCTCTCAAACACCTGTCCCACACGGTGTTGAAAGACTGTGCTCAGTCAGTGCAATTCAGACCCTATTGTTTGAAGAACATAAGGGTCATAACATTGGTGAAGCTAGGCGTAATAAGGGCTTAACACAACGGTCGGATGCCAGTGATACAGCACCTATGAGGATGATACAGCGAGCGTATCCAGGTGTAGCTCTGAGCCCCACCCTTGCCATCTGAAATGTATATAGATGATACATAGATGAATCGTTTTCTGCGTTCAGTGATGATGCATCTGATACAAGTAGCATAGATTAACAGTGTTAGCGGCTTCCATGGTGGTGATATTCATTGATATTTTCAAGAATACCTGAATCTTTTCCTGACTGATGGACACTCTTTGAGGCTAGCTGAATCTCTTCCTGACTGATGGACACTCTTTGAGGCTAGCTGAATCTCTTCCTGTGTGGGACCTTACAAAGAGATTTTTTCAAGACTACCTTACAAATTGAGCTTTTCCTATAATCGTTTCAATACTACCTTATGCTTTACAAGCTTGGCTACATACCACCTACAAGTACTAAAGCCAAGGGTGCATGCGAGTGCGTTATTTGCAAGCACACAGAACGATGAAACAGGAAACAAAAATCTATCTGTAGCTGGTGCAAGGAGAGCAAAGTCGCGCTGTGTACCATGGACTACTTCGTTGACTATTATGCACCTCCAAAGTACTGAGTGTGTAATACAGTGTGTTACTGTGTAAATAGTATATGAAACTGTACATATTGTAATATTAGTGAATTTTTACCACGTAATATTGTGACAATAAACATTTATTGTGGACACATTACTGACACATGTATCACAGTTTCATGGAAAAATATGAACATTCTACTGTATACATATTGTAAAGGTCACAAATATGCATCATATACGATAAAAGAAACAAATAAAACCGCATTGGAAATGCATAGAAAAAATATTTGAAAATATATTTGTGGCAACACGCGGTGCTTGAGTGGCCTGCGCGACCGTGTCTGGGAGCTTCACACACGGGCGACCAGCCCCTGATGACGTCACAGCGCACCTTGTCCACGCCCTCACAGCCAAAGTAAGTGGAATTTGGTAATTATTTTTACATAGACATGTTCAGGGATGGTAATTTATCATTTTACAAAGAAAAATTATATTTTGGGGAACATTTGATGTCATGCACACTAGGGAAATTTCACAATAAACACAGTGTATCACACTGGTTACATGGGGGACACTCGTTTTGTATGACGTCCGTTTCACATGACGAACATGGAACGGATTAAATTCGTTATGCGAGGTACCACTGTATATATATATATATATATATATATATATATATATATATATATATATATATATATATATATATATATATATATATATATATATATATATATATATATATATATATATATATATATATATATATATATATATATATATATATATATATATATATATATATATATATATATATATATATATATATTTTTTTTTTGAGATATATACAAGTTACATTCTTGTACAGCCACTAGTACGCGAAGCGTTTCGGGCAAGTCCTTAATCCTACGGTCCCTGGAATACGATCCCCTACCGCGAAGAATCGTTTTTTCATCCAAGTACACATTTTACTGTTGCGTTAAACAGAGGCTACAGTTAAGGAATTGCGCCCAGTAAATCCTCCCCGGCCAGGATACGAACCCATGACATAGCGCTCGCGGAACGCCAGGCGAGTGTCTTACCACTACACCACGGAGACTGCCGTGGTGGTGTTATATATATATATAAATATATATATATATATATATATATATATATATATATATATATATATATATATATATATATATATATATATATATATATATTTTTTTTTTTTGCTCAAGAAACAATAAATTTAAATGACACCACTTTTCATATCCAGAACTACAATAAATAAAATTTACAATTTACTGTACAGGATTAGCATATCTTGAGCCAGCACATTTTACAGATTTAAATAAAAACCTCAAATGGCTCACCCAACAGAGACTGCTCCACCAACTGGGGAGAAGGAACAATTAAGCATAGAGTCACCCGCCAACGCAGACCCCATGCTCTCTGGCTCATCCTCTTCACACATCAGGTTCCAGAAGCGTACAAACCTTTCAAACAAAAAAATTTAACATTTAATATTTTTAAAAGGAAAAAATAATTTAGTTAAAATGCTTTTGTAAAATATAGTCCTAGGCATTACAGATTGTTTTAGTGGAAAAAGGAAGGGAATGCCAAGTATAAAATGGAATGCAAAGAAAAGAGCAACTAAAAATGTTTTCAATAGAGGAGTACGCTCAAATCTGAGCTTTATGAACCACGAAGATAAATAATATTTTTAGACAATGTTTGAGAATGGTAATGGTAGATAGAGTTTTCTTAAGACTAAACAAGGCTTATGAAATTTATTATATCAATACAGTATACCCAGTACAGTATGCAAGCCAAATCTAATAACTGATGAACTGGAAAATTTTCTTGAACACCTTTGCCCACTGATGACGAAGTATGGAGTCCAAAAAAAAAAAAAAAAATGGCCTGCTTTTGCCGTGGTTTTGGACATTATATGCACATACCCCTTGAAGGGAATTTCATTGCAAATCTATTGATACCAAAATGAATGACTTAGGACCAGAATTGAGGTAATAAAGTTGAAAAGAGCAAACCCATTTTATTGTTCTTTATTAGTGCTCACTGGGGTAATGCGCTGTCACTTTCTCTGTTTGCTGTGGGTGTACGCCGGGCTTTTGGACTTTATATATGCATATACTTCTGCAGAGAATTCTATTGCGAATACAATGATACAAAAATGAAAGACCTAAGACGAGAATTGAGGTGACCAAAGTGAAAAGAGTGTACACATTTCATTGCTCTTTAGTGCTCCCAGGTAACTTGCTCTCACTTTCTCTGTTTTGTGCGGGTGGTATGCCGGGCTTTCAGACTTCATATGTATTTAATCGTGTAGAGAATTCTATTGCGAACACATTGATATCAAATTGGAAAACCTAGGATGAGAATTAAGATGACAAAGTTGAAGAGAGTATACACTTTTCAGTATTACCACGCTCTCTAATGGACGGCCCGGCGCTCCACCCTGCTCTCACCACCTACTTTCATCACGTCGGCGGGTGGAGCGCGCCACGGTTTTTGACATTATATGCATATACTCCTGTAGGGAATTTTATTGTGAACACATTGATACCAAAATGAAAGACCTAGGACAAAAATTTTGGTGACCAAAGTGAAAGAAAGTGTACACCTTTTAACGCTCTTGCGCGCTCCCGGGTAACTTTCTCTCATATTCTCTGTTTGCTGTGGGGTGGTAAGCCAGGCTTTCGGACTTTATATGCATTTAATCTTGTAGAAAATTCTATTGCGAACACATTGATCTCAAATTGGAAAACCTAGGACGAGAATTAAGGTGACAAAGCTGAAAAAATTATACACTTTCCAGTATTACCGTGCGCTCCCGCAGAACGTTCAAAACCACTAGGGTAGGAGAAGGTTCCAGGTTTGGGACTGTGAGCCATAGGGAAGCCAGAGCCCACTTGGGAGATTTATTACTACAGAATGACCTTGAGTTGTCAGGAAACCAAATTGTTATATATATATTATCATGTGTCTTTTGCATATAAATTTGTGTCTTTGTACTAGGCTTTTTTCCTTACTCCTTGATTTCCCCTAGGCTCAAGTAAAATGATCTATTCCCCTGGACAAACAGTATTATTCAGTTTTTAGTGTAGCCACTTTTAGTGGCTACACTAAAAACTAAGTGAGGTAAAGATGCATCGCTGTAAACTGTTTCAGAGAGACAGGCGGCACCTCATTACAAAATTGGCTTCCTACTGTCATTCAACAACTGCTCCTAAATTCAGTGATCAAACATTGTAAATTATTCCAGATATGAATTAGTACTCATTTGACTAGCAAAATTACACATTCATAATTGTAGCTAAATGCACAATACTACATATATCTCACTTTCTTCACGCTAACTGCAATATGAACACTTGTCTTGGGGGTGGAGGGGGATTGGGGGAGGCATTTTTGTCCATATACAGCTTGGTGGATGTAGGCAACAGCACAGTGAATGTCGGGCTACTTACCCGTCACTGCATATGGTGGCTACATGGCAGCCATTTGGAGAGAAGGTTACTCCCCGGACAACGGAGTTGTTCTCCCCCGACATGTAGATCACGCCAGGGGGAGGATTCATGTGGTTAAGGATTCTTAACTGTTCACCTGGAAAACATAATTTGATTTAATTTGATTTAAACAAATATTTTCATATTTTTAAGTTCAATTTATCCTAAATTTTCACTCAAATACTGTTCTTAAATTTATATTGACTAGTCACCAAAAACATTAAATATTCTTATCATATTAGGGTATACGTTCAGGCTAAATATTTATTACCCCATTTTCTACTTTTATGGGATGAGGAGAAAACTGGATATACAAGACATACAAAACTGGATATACAAGACATACAAAACTGGATATACAAAATTATAGCCATCTATTTATCAAACACCGAACCCCTTTCATTCAGATTTTTCTTTTTACATTGATCCCCCGAGGTAATTCAGTTACTATTGGTTGATTTTCCTATCGCCAGCCAGATTTTATCCGAGTGTAAGTACTGCATGGTTATAATTATCATTCACAATTTGGCATTTCCCTCAAGTGTTTGAATCTATTTCTGGATGACATTTGTTAGACAGAATAGCAGCAAAGGAGTGGCTTGCAGTCACTTCCTTTGAGCTATGCCAAAAATAGATTTACATCTAATATTGGTGTACAGATTACATTGTAGGCCTATCTTGAGGTTATCTTGAGATGATTTCGGGTCTTAGCGTCCCCACGGCCTGATCCTCGACCAGGCCTCCTTTTTGTAACACCCCCCCCCCCCAAGAAGCAGCCCGTAGCAGCTGTCTAACTCCCAGGTACCTATTTACTGCTAGGTAACAGGGGCATCAGGGTGAAAGAAACATTTTGCCCATTTGTCTCCGTCTCCACCGGGGATCGAACCCGGAACCTCAGGACTACGAATCCGAAGCACTGTCCACCCAGCTGTCAGGCGCCCTAGATATATATATTACGGATTTTTGTCAATTACGTGTAGATAGAGTTGTTCCACACATTGTGCAAGTTAAAGTGAAGCAGCAAACACAGACCCTCCCTCCCTAACACAATCATCACAGCTTGTTACCACATTCACATGACCACACCCCATGGACCACCACATGCCATCCATCTGCCACCTCCCAGTGTGCACGAATAGCGCACACAGGCAGAGAGGTGTCTTTGATCATAGCTACACTTCAGGGGTTAAGCTTGGTAAGGTGGGTGTCATCAGGTTTCTCTCCAGTCAGGAGCTCTTGTCCTCTTAAGTTCAGTGACTACCTATCAACGACTAAAGGGGACCAAGATCTACCCCTTAATGCCCCCATCTCCTAACCATTTATTATCTAGTGCACTAATTGCCTCTCTCAACATCAAGGTTTTCATCATATTTCTTAAGTGAATTCCACTTGCCGACCACCTGTACAGGGAACGAGAACTTCCTAACATATTTCTGATTCGACTGCACATCCAGCTTCCACCAACGTCCCCCATGTCCTATCTCTAATTTAACCCTTAAAGTGCGCATTACGTCATGTGACGTGTTGGAAGTTGTTCCAGTCAACTGCGCATCACGTCATATGACATGTTGGAGTACTACGCAAGATTTAAACGGCCCGCGGATACACAGGGTTCACCACACCTTCATCAGGGCTCTTGTAAACAGACGCCATTTTTTTTAAAAATCGTGGGCCAAACTCCCGGGTGTTATTGGCCTCAGTATTGAGTGAGCTACCAAGCCTGACGCACGCAGCATGAGCTAACAGCACTGCTGTTCAGCTTGTGACCACAGCATCAAACAAAAATGCCATAATATACTTGTTCATGCTATTATGTACCGATGATATTATTACAGAAGACCCTTCACTGATAAAACTGACCAGGGTTCTGATAATAGCAGGATTGTGGTGATATTTTAGCACTGTGCGCCATGGAGGGAGGAGTAATGCTGTGGGAGGGAGGGTGGTGGTGATGTCTTCTGACTGTGTGTGGCCACCTTTTATTGACTGCACTCACCATACCAGCTTAGTGGTTCACTATGGTGAACACAAATGTAGATACTTATATATAACGTGTGTATAGAGGGTATAAACAGCAAGAGGAGAAGGTTGGGAGCCGCCATTTTGGTGAGGGCGGTGGCGTCGTCTGCATGACGCCACCGTGCAGACGACGGTGTTGTTTACTGGTTACCATGATGGTCTTTGGGCACCATACCAGTTTACTTGTACAAGTATGGTGAATAAAACAGGTAGATATTTATATATAATGTGTGTATATAGCATAATAACACCACAAACAGTATTGTTGGAGGAGAAATATTAGTGCGTCTGGCCTTGAGGACGGCAGCCATCAGCTGACTGTGTGAGCTTTACTCACCATACAAGCTTAGATGTACAGTTATGGTGAACAAAACATGTAAATACTTATATATAACGTCTGTATATAAAAGCAGAAACAGTATGGTGGGAGGAGATTGGTGGCAAGTCAGGTGAGGTGAGGTAGGGAGGGAGTGGCAGCCAGTGGCGGGCTGCCACTGCCGCTCAGCATACCAACTTAGTGGCTCGTTATGGTGAACACGAATGTAGATACTTATATATAGCGTCTGTATATAGTGAATAAAAGCAAAAACAGTATTGTGAGAGGAGAATGTGGGTGAGTCAGGTGACTTGAGGGAGGGAGGAAGTAGCAGCCAGTGGTGGGCTGCCACTGGCACTGTTACTCAGCATGCCAACTTAGTGGTTCGTTATGGTGAACACGAATGTAGATACTTATATATAACGTCTGTATATAGTGAATAAAAGCAAAAACAGTATTGTGGGAGGAGAATGTGGGTGAGTCAGATGACTTGAGGGAGAGCGTGAGTTGCTGGCTGGTACACGGCGGTCACTCCTCGTTACTTTTATATAACCTGTGCTTATAGTGTAATAACCGACAAAGTATTTGTTCACTGTTTGATGAACATAATTGAATCAACAATATGCACACCATATTTTTGAGTACAGCGATGATTCACTTATTTTATTATATAAATATATCAAACTACACACTATTGAATAATATTACGGCAAAAAACTATGAAAAATCGATCAGACATTGAAATAATTAGGTAATTATCTCTTTGTGGCAACTCCGGCCTGACAGCTGGCGATCAACAGACCGCCTGGGATGCATGCAGAGTCAGCGCCTATTTTTTGCCAGACTTCCCCGCCCTATAGCGGGCAATATATGCCACTTACGATTTTTTTATTATTTTTCCTGTGATCAGTGAACACAAATTAACAGGTTGGGAAGAATTTTTTTTTTTTTTTTCAAAATTACATGCACCTGTGGGGAAGAAAGGATATTATACCCCTAGCATGTTAAGGGTTAATTAGGCTTTACTTATCATCTTTACCTATTCCCCTCAAGATTTTGTTTATAGTTATGCTATCATCATATCACCTCTGATTCTTTTCTCCTCTTAAGCTTGAGAATCATTCAATCCTCTTCAGGTTGAATGAAAAATGAGAAATCTCATAGGTGAGGTCTCTCAGCTGCTTGGCTGCTACACCCTTATCTCTCCTGCCTCATTCTCACAGCTAGTCTCATAGGTGAGGTCTCTCAGCTGCTTGGCTGCTACACCCTTATCTCTCCTGCCTCATTCTCACAGCTAGTCGACAAGGTACCACACGTGTGCTCTCTCTCGAGCTCCCTTGAGCACCATCACCCTTCAAACTACTATTATCAATACCCGGTCACCTCAGTTGAGAACCCTCCCCCGGCAACGATGATGAAGAAGTTGTCTCATGTTGTGTGCCTGTAGGGTTATCTTGAGGTTATCTTGAGATGATTTCGGGGCTTTAGTGTCCCCGCGGCCTGGTCCTCGACCAGGCCTCCACCCCCAGGAAGCAGCCCGTGACAGCTGACTAACACCCAGGTACCTATTTTACTGCTAGGTAACAGGGGCATAGGGTGAAAGAAACTCTGCCCATTGTTTCTCGCCGGCGCCCGGGATCGAACCCGGGACCACAGGATCACAAGTCCAGCGTGCTGTCCGCTCGGCCGACCGGCTCCCCAGGGTGAGTACTTGTTCAAATTTGTGTACACAATTGGACTCACATTTTGTAATGCTTAATTCCAACCAAGTGGGGCTGGTGGATAGTTTTGATGGTCTGGCAAGCCCATTTAAAACAAAATGTCCTACAGAGTGCCGGTCTGGACTGAGCACGTGTTTGTGAATGTTATTCCAATACCTGTCATCTTTATTTTGTGCATGCAATTTAAATTGCCCAAGCATTAATTTTGAGCACCATATTGTCCTTTTGCATATGGCAGTGGTGGTAGACAGCCATTATTGCTGAGGTGGTCATTATTACCAGCGTTCATGTTAGACTGCATTTTGTCACCAGGGTGCTGTCGGCAAGACATTACTTTGTGTAGATTTGCCCACGACAGCTCTCACAGTTATCCCATTACCATGTGTGTATATACATTTTTGTCTTATGTTCTAATTCTTGGTGAATAAATTCAAATGTTAAGCACATGGTGTTTCAGGAAATCCTTCTCCCTCACATTACAGACTTGCTGGCTTGCTCCCAAAATGGATCCTCCACCTATACCTGCCCTATCAAATTATAAATTATTTTGTGATGAACTGATTACTCTGATTTCCCTGCACCATCAGGTGCAGACCAACACCTGATGGTACATGTCCCTGCACCATCAGGTGCAGACCAACACCTGATGGTACATGTCCCTGCACCATCAGGTGATGGTACATGTCCCTGCACCATCAGGTGCAGACCAACACCTGATGGTACATGTCCCTGCACCATCAGGTGCAGACCAACACCTGATGGTACATGTCCCTGCACCATCAGGTGCAGACCAACACCTGATGGTGCATGTCCCTGCACCATCAGGTGCAGACCAACACCTGATGGTACATGTCCCTGCACCATCAGGTGCAGACCAACACCTGATGGTACATGTCCCTGCACCATCAGGTGCAGACCAACACCTGATGGTACATGTCCCTGCACCATCAGGTGCAGACCAACACCTGATGGTGCATGTCCCTGCACCATCAGGTACAGACCAACACCTGATGGTACATATCCCTGCACCATCAGGTGCAG